AAAAAAAAAAAAAAAAAAAAAAAAAAAAGTAAAAACAAATAGGTAAAATGATTCTTAATGATATATTTTATTTAACACAGTATATCCCCAATATTACCAATCCAACCTCTAATCAAAGTAAAAATTAGTTACTAGATAATTTAAACTTGTTTTTCTTTTTTAAATTCAGTCTACAAAATCTGATATGTGCTTTATACTCATGTCTCAGATAATTGGACCAGCCAAGTGGTCTAGAGCTGCATGTGGCTTGTGAAGAGATAGTGTGGGATCTAGGCTTGCAATTCAGCCTCCTTCCCATGACACAGCCTTTGAAGGCTGGCTCAGGCTTGGTCCCAAGTCCCGTTTCTTGTGCACCTTCTCTCTGTTTCAAGCCAACCGCAATTGATCAAACACCCTAGTCTCTTGGTTGCTTCCATACATTTGCCCAAACTGTTTTCTGCCAGGACTTCCTGTCCCTTTGTGGTGGCCTCCAGCTGGCTGCACTGACTCAGGGCTCCACAACTGTCTTAAATCTCACTCCTTGGGCAAGACTCCCCTGAGCTCTTCATGCAGTTAACAACTTCCTCCAGTGTGCAAACAGCAGGTTTTCCTAACTATATTTGGCAGCTGCTGCACAGTTCGAAATTTATTTAGCAAAGCTTCCTCCCCTACTAATCTGCAGATTCTCAGTGGGCAGGATCTACTCAACCCACGGATGTGCCTGATAAACACTTGGCAATTAGAGAGTTGAATGAAGAAAGAATGAATGAGTGTGTAACTGAATGAATTCTCGGGTTCCAAATACCCTGCCATTCTGGGATCCCATCAGGTGGCTGGGGTCACAACCTTAGAGAATTGTGATTCCCTAAGAAAGGAGAACCGGCCCAGATCTTCTCTGTCACACTAGTGACTGGCCACATTTCCTCTCCTTTCTCTGTCTCTCTCCCTCACCCCCTTCCTGCATGATGGTAATGATAAAATCCACCTGGTCAAACCAACTACAACTTTCGGCCTCATCCCCATCCCTCCCTCACCTTGTGACCAGGGCCACAGTCGCCCTGTGGGTTCTTCCTCTTGAACTTCTCTCACGTACTTCCTCCTTCATATCCCTGAGACCAGCCCCTAATCCCTTGGCCTGTTCTGCTGCTTTCTGGCTCTTTGTTGAACCGAAGACCAGGGATGTCCCTCTAAAGAGTCAGTTTCTTCCATCCAGCCTCCTTTTCACAATCTCTATCAACCCAGATAAGGAAAGAACCCAGCCGCTCACTGTGACACATAAGGATATCTGACCTCTGGATGAAAATGATCTTGCCCAACTTTCCACTCCCACTTCGTGTGCTCAAGTCCACTCTTAGTGGTATATTTTGCCATCTCCATTAAGCCATTTAAAGTGCCCGATTATCACCCCAAATTCCTGCTCTCTTCTTGGACTATGATATGCTTTCTTTGCCCCCAGCAGGACCCCACTCTCCACTCACACACCCAGGTTACAGTCGCCTCCTTCCCTGGCCCCCGTGGAAGGAGCTGCTCAGGCCTTTGCTCCCAGAGCCCTCTACATTCCCCGCTCCCTGCAGCCTCCTTAACTTGGACAGTCATCATATTTCCCACGCGTCCCAAGTGTCCTCCGAGGAATGCAGAAGTCCTCTGTGGAAAGGCTGTTTATTAATATCAGTTACTTTGGTCTGGGCACAGTGGCTTATGCCTATAATCCCAGCACTTTGGGAGTC